GTGCGACATAGTTATAAACTTCCATTCTAAATTTTTTATTAAATAACACTTACAATTTGATTTTATTAATCCTAAACCCTATATGAGTTTATTAATTAAATCATAATATATAAATGTTAATTTTCCAAATAAAATTTTAATGTCACATCTATCTAATTCTTGAAAAAGAAAAAAAAAGTTTGCCTTAGGCGTCATTGACGGTGGAATGGCTAACAACCAGAGCTTCCTTGTCTCAAAATTGCCAAAAAACAAAAATTTAGCAGATAGTTTAGCTAGTTGTTTGCAAATAGCTTTCGGTATAATCGCTCCACGAATCCAATAAGCTATAGTATTTCAAATTGTAAACCTTAGAAATTGGAGTCTACCTGCAAAAGATAAACTCTTCGCATGACGGATTCACATATTTTCTCTCTGTAACTACCAAACCTCCCTTGCTAGTCGTCCCAGAGCTACCGACGACCAACAACCATTTCAAAGTGTGGATTTGCCCTTCAATCAAATGGCCACAAGTTTTGTAAAATTTTTGGCAAGAAAGATGAAACAAGAACTAATTATTAAAATGTGTTAATAAGAATGGGATAAAAAATTGAATGAGCTTGTAATTAACTCTTTGGTTAGCTTGTCTTACAGGTTACTTGTACGTGGCAGAGGTGCCTTTTTTTTCTTAGAGAATGTTTTGAGTTTGTCTTAGGGCATCTCTAACCGAATGCCAAACGAGCATTTACAGTCACCGTGAGCTCCAACTGAATGTCAGATTCAACGACATTTTGCCCGAGATGAACTGTGTTATGATAATATTGACATCGCACTGTTCACGAACGTCATTTTTTGCCATTTCTTTATTTCAGTTGGACAAAGAATATGTTTGGTATATTCTTTTTTGATATTATGTAATGGAGTTCAGTTGGAGATGAATACTAGATTTTATAATATTATTGTATTTTGAAGTGTAAAATAAGTTTTACGATCCGAGATAATCTTACAGGGTATTTTGGCACTAAATCTGCTCACTACTTTCAACAATTATGAGGGAATTCTTTTTAATTTATAATTAACTCGATATCTATATTATTAAGAATTTGCGTTAAAGAACTTCTAATGAGTACTTATTGAAATTATATATATATATATATATATGATCGTGCGCTTCTCCTCTGGCGGCTAGGGTTCCGCAGTGCTTGGGCTTTTTGGCCCTCGCCGGCGGGGGTTTCCGGACTTTTCATCAGGAAAGCGTTCTCATCTCTTTTCCGTGTTACTGGTGGTTTTTGTTTTTATTTTATTCCGGTTTTACCGGTATGCCTTCGATCAAATTGAAAGATCCCGGTTTTATTGGGGGATCTCTCACTCTAAGTCTTTTCTTCAAGCTCTAGCTGGATCGTCTTCCTCTTTTCCAGATTTGAGGCCTTCTACCTTTCGTGGTCTACCATCTCTTTGGGTTTCTGATGGGGAAATCAAGAATTTGGTTGTACCTTTTCGTTTTTCGTTAGTAGGTTTCTTCCCGTCGAAGCGTCCCCCTCTTGACGCGATTCGCAAATTTTTCTTTAATTTGAAGCTGAACGGAGAAGTTTCTATTACCGTTTTGTATTCTACACACATTTTGATTAAGTTGTCCAATGATTTAGACTATTGTAGGGTTTTTTAGCACCGATCCTACCTGATTTTCAATTGTTTTATGAAACTAACTAAATGGTCTCCTACTTTAGATATCGGAGTTGAGTCGCCGATCATCCCGATTTGGATTTCCTTTCCTCATCTTCGTCCTCATTTCTTTGCGCCAAGGATTCTGTTTGGGCTTGGTGAGTTATTTGGCAAACCTTTAAAAATAGATGAAGCTACCTCGGTTGGTTCACGTCCGTCCAATGCCCGTGTTTTAGTTGAAATTGATATTACCAAAACTTATACGAAGCAAGTTTGGTTAGGATCTGAGGCTCTAGGGTATGTTCAGGATGTGGTTTTTGATGAATTTCCTCATTTTTGTAGTGTTTGTAAATGTTTAGGGCATGTGTCTGGTAAGTGCAAATC